AATAATTGTTTAATATTATAAAAATATAAAAAGCTATTTTTTTGTACAGAGAACGTAGTTAGATGTAGGGGCTATTTTTGCAAAATATTCAATTAAAGTCTTAAAAATGCAAATATAATTATAAAAAAATGCAATTAAAATATTTGAACACTCATATGAACATAAATGATGAATTTAGATGATTAAATCATTATAAAATAATATGAGGGATAGTTTTGAACATTATGTGATTAAGAAATGCAGAAATAAATGAATTTAGGGCCTTTAAAAATTATAGAAAAATTGTAAAAATACGTGTGCATGTTTGTAAATGCATGTACAATATTTTGAAAGTGTGTATGCATATTTTAAAATATATGAGGAAAAAATTGGGTATCAACACAGTGTTCACAGCTTCAGTGCAAAAGGTTTTAGGAAGTCCAATAGCAATTAACATGGTTCTTGTTATATCTTCTAAAGTTCTATTTTTTTTCTTTCTATAACACCATTTTGTTGTGGTGTTCTAGGTGTAGAGAAATAATGATCTATACCATTACCTGAACATAACTCAAGAAAATTAACATTTTTCAATTCAGTTCCATGGTCAGATCTAATGCTAGTTACATGACTATCCATTTTTCTTTCTAGTTTCTACATAAAATTCACAAACGTTTCGTTTTTAGTTGCCAGAAATATAGTCCAAGAAAACTTAGAATACTCATCAACAATTACAAACACGTACCTCTTTTCACCTCAACTTTAAACCCTCAATGGTCTACATAAGTTCATGTGAAACAATCCCAGAGGTCGAGAAGTACTTACCATTTTCTTTTATTTGAATGATGATCTGACTTGTTTATCTTTAGCACACGCATCACACACTTTATCTTCCTTGAATTTTGATTGGGAAAACCAAGCACCAGGTCCTTGGAGATCAGCTTGTTCAATATAGAAAAACTAACATGTCCCAGCCTCTTGTGCCATAGAAAGGAATCATTATCCAGTGCACTAAGACATGATAGTTCACTTTCAGGAGAAGACATAATGTCAGATTTATAAATATTTTTGTGTCTATTTCCCTTGAGAACCAGGTTTCCAGAGCTTTTATTTGTAGCCATACAGTTTTTAGAAGTAAAGAGGACTTCGTTCCCTTTGTCACACCTTTGGGAAACACTCAACAGGTTGTGTTTCAAACCTTTAACATAATACACATTTTCAATAGTATGAGAGTAGGACTTACCAACCTGACCTGTGGCGATTATATTTCCTTTTTTGTCATTGCCAAACCCCACACTCCATCCTTGGTAGGCTCTCGGTGAGAGAAAATTATCTTTGTTTCCAATCATGTGGCGGGAGCAAGCATTCTTTATATACCACCAATTCTTGCTTCATCTCACTTTAACCTGCAAAAACATTCAGGGGTTATCTTTAGGAACCCAGACAAGCTTGGGTCCCTTTCTTTGAGTAAAAAGATGAATCACGTTCTTCTTAGCCCATCCTGATAGATTTTCATTTTTCAGTGAAGAACCAAGTTTCATCACTTTCCTTTTCTCAACATATGCAATATTTTTTAGGCCTGCTTGAATTCTAGTTCTGGGTGTTTCTTTAAGGTGTCCATTATTACACAGTGAGTGCATAGGTGATTATCAGGAATGTCGACATACTTGGTATGAAGATTGTATGTAATTTTAGCCTTAGTATGTCCTAGACACTTTTTGTTGTTACTGTGGTTTCATGCATTTTAAATGTTATTAGGGAAGACCTGGTCCATTTTAAGTTCTTTTCCAGATTTTCTTGAAGCATCCTAACCTTTTCAGATTCAACTAGAAGATTTTTATTATCTTCATTTAGTTCACTTTATAATTTCTCAGGAATATCTATGGCTAGGTCTTTACCCTTATTTGGAGCATTGAGCAATTTATTGTTCTCAGTTTCTAAGGCAGCATTTTCATATTCCAAAGCAAGGATCTGGTCCTTGAGATCAACCGCAAAGACTTAAAGGTTTTCTCTACTTATTTTCTGATCTTTGTGTTCAAACCTAAGTGATGTATAGTCATTCATGAACTGTTCATTTTTATCAGAAACCTTTTGATATGCATCAATCAAGACACCAGACAATGAGATTAATTTCTTTTTAGAGTAGGTATGTATTTTGTCTTTGATGTCTTAAAAACTTACCTCGGGTTCTTCTTCCTCATCAACATCAGAGTCTGAATTTCCCACTAATGCAAGGAGATCTTCAGGTTCTGAATCACGGTCTTCCATGGCCATCAGTGATTGATCCTCTTTGTCACTTACATCGTCAGACTCATCAGTTGAAGATGATATCATGGCAGCCATAGCTCTTTTTACAGTTTTGTCCATAGCCTTATTCGTCATCCTCCATCCAAAAATCCGATCTCTTTTCTGTTGTTTTCCCTTTTCAGGATTGTTCCTTTTCCACTCAGTTTGCAATACTAGACAGTCTTTGATGAAGCGATCTTTCTTCCCACACTTGTAGCATCCATCTGTGTTGTTTTTCTCTATAGTCTTGGGTTTGGATGAGCTACCTTTCTTCATAAATCCACCTTTCCTTATTGCTCGCTGGAAACGTCTAGTAAGCAATGCCATATCATCATTTTCAATGTCCTGCTTTTGAGTGGTCTTGAGAACCAACTTCTTAGTCTTGCGAGGTTCATCAGATTGTCGATCTAGACGATCATGATTGAGTTTTAACGCATACATCTCTGGATTACCAATGAGATCATCAAGAGTCATTGTGTTCGAATTTCTTGCTTCCGTAATTAAACTGATCTTGCTATCCTATGAGGAGGCAGTATGTGTAGTGTTTTCCTCACAATTTTGTTTCGAGAGATAACTTCTCCTAGAGATATCAATTCATTGATAATCGATGTGAGCCTTGTCTGCATATCCAGTATAGTTCCCCCCTCTTTCATCTTAAACAGTTCACATTGTCTAGTTAGCATATCAATCTTTGACTGTTTCACTTGAGACGTACCTTCATGAGCACACTGCAGGGAATCCCATATAGATTTTGCATCTCTGCATGCTGAGATCCTATTGTATTCATCTGGACCAATACCACATATCAGAACTTCTTCGCTTTAGCATTCTTTTGAACTCCTTTGACATCCTCTTCTGAATATTTTTCTCTTGGCGTTGGTCCAGTGGGGATACCTTTGTCATCAACCAGCATAGGAGTCTTTGGTCCCTTTTCAACAATATCCTAAAGCTCCAGGTCTTCTCCTTCCAAGAAATCACGTATACATTCCTTCCACCAGCCGTAGTATTTTCATTAAACAGTGGTGGCTTGACAGTTGATTGTCCTTCTTGAGCATCGGGTGGTGCAGCCATTGTAGATCCTTTCAAGGTGTTAGCTTTTTTTAAATGAACCTGCTCTGCTACCAATTGTTATTTTATGATACACCTAGACACAAGAAGGATAATTGAACTGTGCCTTACCCGATTTTTGCAATTTCAAGAACTTGATTCTTTGAACTATGCACACACACAAACAAAAATAATTGCAATAATTTAACCAACACAAAGATTTTTTACGTGAAAAACCTCCTTGCTCAAGGGAGTAAAAATCACGACCTACCCAGTACGATTTTCCTCAAAACTACACTAAACTTCAAAGAGCAGTTTTAGGTTAAAACTCTATAACCAAGGGGACTAACTCAAGTACCATAACTCCTACAATCAACTCAATTGTAGCAACCCCTTCCCAAACTAACTCTAGTCTAGGAAGCTAACAAAAACTCAAAGTTTCTGCACTAACCTATTGATTACACTTCCCAAAAGCAAATAGATTAAAATTCAGAACACCTTGACTCAACCTAACAACTAAAAAAACTTAAACATCTTCGTAGGAATAACTAAAAAACCTCAAACATCTTCGTAGGAATTGGTTCTTCAGTTGATCAACTTTAGTCTCCAGAAGTATCTTCTTGTTGTGATTGCTATTGCCAGAAGTAATTCGATGTGATTTCTCTCAATAGCAGTTGTCTTGAACTGTGACAAAAAGTCTCCTTTAGTTGCAAAGTTGGCCAAAACTCTTCTTCAATTAATGTTCCAAAACCTAGAATATTCCGATTAAGGAAAATCTCTCTTATTTTGTTTGGTTTCTTCTTCAACCTTCTCTGTCCACGCAAGTTTTTCCCATAATTACAAAATTCTTTTTGACCACAAACTCCTCCAATTTACCTATTCCTTTTAGGGCACGGGTAGGACTTTCAGAGTAATTGAACTTGCGCAAATATTCTGCAATTCGTGTCTAATCAGTCTTCTACGAACCTAGTTCATTTGTCATTTGCATCTCTCATCTGCATCCCAGCATAGTAGCATATCAACCTCGAACATGAAACCTAGTTCTCTGCACCTACTCCGGTCCAACCTTGACCCTCGACACCCGACGCTTCGACCTCTCGACCCTGCACCTACTCACCCCGTCAACCATAGTGTTTGCTCTTGGGATAATATTTTTTGCTTACAAGTCATGTAAGATCACTTATTTCTAGGAAAACATTTTCCAGGAAAATGTGTTCCTTCATGCCAAGCACACCCTTAGATTGATATTTTGAGTCTTTTACTATGCAACAGCCTATCACAGCCAGCAACTGTGTTATTTGTTTTGTTTAATTTCAGGAAGATATCTTTTCAGACCAATGAGAAGGTCTAACTCAGATTGATATGTGAAGGAACACAAATAATGACTACAAACTATCATGTTTTGGTGTGTAAAGATCCAGCTGAACAACAATAATTACCTTTACATGAAGTTGACTTCCATACTTCCTTGTCCCATTGAAGATATTAAGTATGGCCTGTGTATTGCATTGATTCACGACAAAAAATTGTAGAAAAAAGAAAACTCAAAGATGTTTTAGTAGAATTTGGTGATTTGAGTAGAAAGTAAAAATAAACTAAAATTGGTGGCAAAGAAATACGACCGAAAGCTGAGAAGAAATTATGTAGATTTTTTACTTCTGTAGGAAGAGCTTTTTTGTGGAAAAATGAAGGAAAAAGAACTTGATAAAGCACTACATATTATCATTTTTTTAAGCAGTGAAGTGCACTACATGTTATCATGAAGGAGATAAAGAAAAGGACATACAAATGATATCTGTAGCACTATCTAATCAGTGGTCTTTGATATTGAGGAAGAAGGAACAGAAAAAATGTGTCCTATCTGATATGAAATTAGGGGATCCGTCATCCGAGGAATGTGAGGAACAGTTCCCATGGCTGGCTGCCTCTCTCTATAAGATGCCCAAGTTACTAAATAAAGCCCAGCTATAATGAGAAGTCCTCCTAAAATGCTGCAATCACAAAGCGTGGGGATATCTTAGACTTGAGGCTAACGACGAACAACTAGAAATGGACTATAAGGAAAAGATCATATGAGCGGCACAAATGTTCAGCAAGTGGAATATTGCATAGTTTCACAAGATACAATCTCCAAAAGAAAGCAAGTCAATAAAGGAAACGTGGCAATTTTATTTCGCATCACCCTCACACCATTTTGGTCCTCAATGTGCCAAAACGACTATAAAACAAAGAAATGAGAACATAAGACAGATATAAAACTGGATTTTATATACATCAGAGCACTTACCTTCCCAGATAAATAGGGCTCCCGAGAAAAATGCTAGATAAAATTGCTGAAGCAGCAGGCTGAAGCGGATTGTATAAAGCAACTAAAGCAGGGCCAAGAATCTTATTGCACCATGTCATAAGTCCATAGTTCAGGGCAGATGCAACAATCCCCTGAAAAACACCAACCATTGTGAAGAAACTATTTTCATTTCACCTAACTAAAAACATTGTCAGCCTACATACTAACCATATGGTATGAGATGTTATAGACAGATGAATGAGAATCCACTGTGCAACATTAAAAACTATCTTTAACAAATGATGCATTGACGATTGCAAAATGAAAGAGCAACACAGGGGAAGGAAGTATGAAGAGCATTGATGTGTCAACTGTTTAGGTGCATGCTAAATCATCTTGGTACTGGTGATCGGCTAGAACTGGTGTTTTTAGAATTAGGAGTGGAAAAAGCAAATAAGCAACAAGGTCCATGGGGCTTGAAGCAAAAAGTGAGAAGTGAAGCACATAATTTACGAGAAATTTAAAAATATCAAACATCTATGATTTTAATACAATAAAATAAAATTGCAATTAAAATATCAAATTTAGTATCCACCATACAGTAATCCTGATATTAATCTAAGAACTCAAAGTTGAGATCCAAATAAGGGACTGATCCTTGTTGGAGTCCTTTGTGCACCATTATTTGAAGCACAAATTTCTCTAAAGCGCATGGCTTCACCCCTGAAGCAATAACTCCTCGTTTCGCATCACTCATCACTTTAAGCAACAAAGCGATGACTTCCAATGATACTGGCTAGAATACCTCAAGGCGCCCCATTTTACTGTGAATGTGAGAGGAAGATCAACGGAGTGGGTTGGGAACCTTGAGGTCTCAAGTTTAAATCCCAACGGAGGCAAAAAACACTAGGTAATTTCTTCCCATCTGTCCAACCCTTGTTGGATAGAGTTACCTAGTACCTGTTGCTGGTAGGAGGTAACAGGTATCCCGTGGAATTAGTCGAGGCACATGCAAGCTGGCCCGAACACCACGGTTATCAAAAAAATATGTTCATAATAAGAAGTTTCATTTAAACAGAAAGTGTATAAAAGGGTCTTCCATACTCCCATAATTAGCATATTTCAAATCTTATAAAAAGAAGCACTACAAGTCAGACATGAAGAGGATACTAAAGAGAATCTTACAGCATAGCACACAGCGAAAACTTCAGATTTTGTCAAATACCAGTCTGTTGAGCCATTGGTCATAAAGAATGATGTCCCTATCATCAATAGAACGCCAAAAAAGTATGAATATGCTGTCAATGATAAGCCTGCAGGGTATTTTGCCAAAAGTGGAGCCTGCAAAAATTTCATAAACCACTCAACTCTGCATACATTTCATAACAATACAAACAGATACACTGACAAACTCAAGGATTTTCCAGAACATTTCAAGCTAGCCCAAGATCTAAAGCGTCAATGATATCTAAGAAGGAACTGTATGTACCAATCCTGACTGGAGGCCATGCTACAAACAAAATCAGATTGTTTCTATGGATTATTTAACAAAAGTAATCAGTATGTTTGTTTTTTTGGACTATTGTGTGTGGATATCAGTCTTTTCAAAAATTGATTCTGTTAACTGGAATTTGTATCTGGTTATTGTTCAATAAAGTCATCTTTCTAAATCAATTATAAAAGGTGTCCAATATAAGCCGGATGGATGCAAATTAATCTACTTCAGATGAATAGCAATTGATAGATAAAAGTTCACAAGAGCAGAAAACAACTATGAGAAAAAAATATCAATGAAACTGAAAGTGATAACTTTTAACATGAAAATGGTAAAGTGATAAATTTTAGGTAGCAATATTTTTCTTTTCAAAGACTGAACATTAAACTTTTTTATCAGGCTTTAATCAATTGTAAACATCCACCCAACCCCAATTTAAAAAATTTCAAAGACACCCCCTGCAAATGCTAGTGCATCACAGGCCACTCAACCAAAGCATGCCAAAATCACCTTCATTAGCATGTTATTAGAGAAGGAGGTCCATCGTGAAAGATCCTATATACAATGGAAGATCGGGGGTTAACTTTTTCAACCGATGCCTAGACATATATATTTTATATATGTGCATAGCCTTTCAGTTTAATCTTTAGGAACGGCCTCTGCTATTTATTCCAATCAAGTAGATCTGAATTAGCAATTGAAATGATTATCTAGTTACCTGAATAGCTAAATATGCTGCCATGCACATACAGTTTCCTATTAAGCATAAGACGCCGAGGTGCCAATTATCAAATCCCAGCTCCAGAAAACTAGACATTAGCCATCCAGAAGGCTCGGGTTGACCCTTAGCACTTATCTCAATGTGGGCTGTGAAGTCTGATGTGCCGTCTCCAAACACCACTGGACCACGGAATACAGCCATTAAAATCGCCCCCGACACACAAACAACGGTACCTCCAACCTTTCCCTGACCTTCCACAGTAAGAAGCTTCACTGTTTCTGTGCTGCATAAATAACACATACGAATAATGTTGAGCAGGTCAACATTTGCAACAGATAAGTTATGTGACAATACCAGAAATGCACAAATTGAAGACAAATAACAGGTAAAGAAAGGAAGCCATTATATGGACAAGAGACCGAGACTAGAAAAAGAAAGAACCACTACCACTAGCCAGGGATTGTGGCTTCCATTTATGAACTTGCTGTTTTAAATGATAGATAGATCAATGTTCTAAGTAAATAGCACCAATAGAAATACAGAAGGTTACTTCATTAGCACTCTCCTATGACATATGAACTGTAAAAGCCACTGATGCATAGTTGTTCTTCTCATAGTACCCCTAAATGATAAGCAGTTGTATATTTAAGTTTCTTTGAGGAGAACGTAATTAATTTATAGAGAGCTAGCTTCCTTGTTTTTAAAGCAGTTAAGGCAGTAGGGTTCAGCATTCCCATCAACAAAATTATCTAAACCATTCCCTATCTGAGATTCTGAAGTCTCTAACATCCATTCCTCACTAAACATTTATGCATAATCAAAATGCTCCTGAACTATACGACGTTTAACTTCACTGCCGTATATTTGTGATATAATCAAGCAATGAATGGAGCATAACGATGTCGTTTTGGGGCTATGCCTTTGCTGACCACTACTCCAATGGAGCTTGCTTGAGGATTCAATCCTCTTGAGTAAATTAGATGCTTCTTTGATTCCATAACTGAAGGTATTTGGTTCCTTTTATCATATGACATATTAAAATCAAGTTTGTCTCTAATTCAAATCTTCTTCTACTCCTATCTATTTTTATCTTGTGTCTGTGTTTCTTCAAGCTATCACTTCTCTATGTCTCATCTATATTATGCCATCTTTTATCCTCTCTGCAGGAGTGTTTCTGCAATTTAATTTCTTAGAAGGTCCAACTCTCCAAGATAGTGACTGAAATTTATCTCGGTGTTTTATGATATTTGGAGGATAAAGATTCTTGAATTTACTGTAATTATTCTCGCTCTATGCACAAAAATAAAGTACTTGTGAATTGTGATTGCTCCAAGCCTCCAATTTAAAGCAACAAAACAATTTTGGTATTAAGAATCCAACATTTGATACTTGATAACACTATGATCTTTCACAACTCACAAAGTTAAGCAACACAACATAACTTATCAAAAAAAGTTGAGCAACACAAGATTCACTCAACACCCAGGACATGCAAGAATTGTGAGTGATGGAAACAAAGAAACAAAATAGAGAGAGGATGTTTACTGACCCCATGAGCACAGCAAATATGAACGTAAAGACTGGTATTGCAGGTTGCAAAGCAGCAGCATAAGTCGGATTCGTGTAGCCAAGACCGATAAGGAACAAAAGTTGGTTACCAAAAATACTGTCTCAGTGCCAAAAGAGAAAAAAGGCATTTTCAGGACTAGGCTTTAATTGAGTGTAACAAAACTAAGGAAATTAACAAAACAAATCCAAACATACACGCTTAGCACATCAAAACTTACCCAGTTAAACCTAGAATGAAGAATGACAGTAGAAGCTGTTTATTCAAAGGAGGCCTCGACCTCCTATACATAGAGAAACATAACAAATTTGTTAGTGATGCTATTATAATTGCAGATATCATAATTAACCTTTCGAAAGAGCTTATACAAAAGAATATGTGTGTGTGTGTCTATATAGATAAAACAAAGGATATCTGATGAAAGAATGAGAGGGAAAACTTGTTATGTTTGTCAAGTGAACTGCCATACAGTGATGTAGTAACAGACTGAAAACGTACAACATACTATAAGCAGCAAGACCCTCAGTTTGAACTACTATACGCACTCGTCAATAGTAATGCTCTCTTTTTTTTGGACCAACCCAACCCACACATCATCATTAGAAAGATAAACCTCTGATTCTAATGTATCTAGTTAGCCTAACTATTAGTCTATTACGAGGTTTCACACTTTAATCTCCAATCGGGGAACAGCAATATTTTATTTTATTTTCATTTTTGGTCTTTGCTTCAATTATTGTGGACTGACAAGTAGTTAATAAGACAAATATTTCAATCAACACTTACTCATATAACAATTGGGGTCGTCTATACGAACTCTCTCTGTCCATTTCACTCTATTCGAGCCCATTTCCTTCCAATACTGGAAAACAATTTGATTCTTCAAAAAGGAAATAAGGATTCTCTAAAACTTAAGGTTCTCTAAATGTCCTATTTATTCCTATATTGCCAGTAACATAAAATAATTAACAAACTAAAAGAATTCTTGGCAAACATTTAACTTAATGTATGTGTAACAACAATAACTAAGCCTTGATTTCAAATAGTTGTTTTAGCCTATATGGACCCTATACTTTCATTATGTTCTATTCTTAGTAAAATCCCATCGATTCCACGAAAATGTAAATTCTTTACGGTAATTTCTTGTGTTTTAGGTCTACATTGTCCCATTTTAGAACATTCAATTATTATATTTCGAGGTCTATGGTCAAGAAAACCTTCTCTCAAGATGTAGCTACTTTCAAACTTTGTCAAATGTGGTCATTTCTAATCTTGTCCAATTTATGTAACCACACCTCCATCTCAACATCTATATTTCTCCGACATAAATCATGGATATGTTAGGCCTTAGAGATTCAAACTTGCCTTTTACATTGTTCAGCCCCTTGTTATCGTATAACACTCTTTTAACACTCCTCCATTTTCACCCTCGTACTTCAATTTTATGCATCACATCTTCATCTATCATGTCATTCTCTTGAGAAACTAGACCTTCTTATATAAATTGTCTGCATTTAGACACCCTAATGCCATCGAATCTTACTTCACTTTGTTCTTCCCAGAGTGTTAAATTTACTGTCATATTATGTCTTATTATTACTAAATCCTAAAACTCTTATTCCCTAGAGTGCTTCTCCTTGACTTAATAGCTTTTGGTTGACTTGTACTAAATTCGTCAATTAACAATATATCATTTGTAGATAGTATGTATCGTGAAACTTCATCTTGTATATAATTGGTAACTCAACTGGGTTAGCAAATAGGACATCAAGGCAAATTCCCAATGTAACCCATAGTTATGGCCTTGTAGGAAGAGTTATTAGTATCTCCTACTATTTACACTTGTGACTACTCCCTCGTATATGTCCATTGTGGATTTATATATTTGATATGCATTCCTTTCCTTTCTTCACAAGTATCCACCAAGGATGTTCTTTTAACAAAGCAAAGGGAACCCACTAAGGACTTTTCTTAGTAATCTAACATATATTTTCTCTAGGTCAATAAATGTCATGAGGAGATCCTTCTTCCTCTCCCTATACTTCATTCATCTCTTCAGGAAAGAAATAGTTTCTATTAATTAGATCCAAAAAGCATAAAATTCAATTGGTTCTGTGTAACTGTTATATAGCCATTAAGTCTATGATCTATCATCTTTTTCTGATATTCCATTGCATTACTCATAAGTTTAATACCATGATACTTCGAACAACTTTGAATATAATCTATGTGTGTATATGTATTTGCTTGTGTCTCTGTGTGTATATTTGTATGTGTGTGTGCATATGTGTGTGTGTAACACACACATATTGGAGCTAAGGTAGTCTTTCTCAGTACATTAGGGCGTAGGCATCCTTTCAATCCTTCATAATTCATATAATGTTGCATAGTTTGATCAGTCATATTGCTCCAACCCCTTCAAAGTTCCAAAACTCTATAAGGATACAATATGCACCATATAATTTTCCAACCCTTGCAATTTGTATTGAGCAATTGATCAAGTAGCCCCTCCATCCACTTTTATCTCAAACTTATTTGGAGTCGTGCTTAATTGTATATAGGGTGAAAAGTAGCATGGAAGGGCAAAAAACAAATTAACAATAACCACTTTAACCAAGGTTGACTAACCAAACTTCAACAACAAGAAAATAGTTGTTTTTCGAATAAAAAAAAATAGCTCTTACCACAAATCTTTATGATGCAATGTGGCATTATTTTGGGTGGAACTTCTAAGGGGTAGTTCACAACTATCTCATAAACACACAATAGCCGATATTCCAGCATCAAGTAGTTTCATAGGTCCAGACTAACCTACTCTTTTTATAAGGTAAATTTTATTAACAGTGAAAAAATCTCCAATATTACAAGCAGTATACCAAAAGGTAGAGAATCTATCACTTTATAAAATAAAAAAGGGCAGAGAATCTACAATATGGTTCTCCATAAAAAGTCACAAATAGCTTGTTTGGCCAAGCTTCTTGGAAGCCAAAAGTACTTTTTTGAATTAAAAAAATATTTATTTTAGAGTATTGAAGTGTTTGACCAAGCTTTTTGGAAAAAGTTAAGTGTTTTTGAGTAATACCAGAAGTTGGTTTTCATAAACTAAAAACAGCAGTTTTTTCCCCGAAGTACTTTTGGAACCTTGGCCAAGCACAAGTTGCTGCTCTTCTATTGGCAAAAGTTATTTTCAAATTGATTAGCTAAACACAAACTACTACTCTCCAAAAGTACTTTTCCGGAAAATACTTTGGACAAAAAAACACTTTTCAAAATAAGCAGATTTTGAGAGCTTGGCCAAACAGGCTATAAGTCTTTTATAAAAAAGAAGTAGAAGGTTTTTCCTCTAATATACAAGATTATTTCCTCACCCCTCGAAGGGTCTGACAATTCTTTCCTTGCATGGATCCACATAAGTGTTAATGGAGCCATATCCGATGCCCAGCCTCTTCTCCTCCCTATAAAGGAGTAGTTGAATAATGCCTCTTTCACTATGTCTGTCATTGTCCGTTGTAGTCCGAACCATTTCAAAATATCCCACGCATTGCAAGAGTTGGTGATCCATGTCTCTGCCCCAACTTTAGCACATAAAACAGGAGTTAACGTATTACTTAAATTTTCAGCTCATAAGATCACTCCCCTTGATGCCAGCCATGTAAAGAAGCGTATTTCCTTAGCGCCCTAGGAATTCAAGTCGATAAGTGGGAGAAGCCCGAGTACTTCCTTACCAAATGGTAGTAAGACTTAATCATGAACAATCCATATCTCCCCTCTCCCACTACTATATATTTTGGCCAGCATGTCGTGTTGTGCTTGTAGACCATTTCAAGAATACTTGAAATTCAGCAACCTACCAGTCCTAGGTTCCTTTTAAACATTAGGTTCCAGTGAATCCCATTTACTCCTCTCTTAGGATTTGTTGTACTATTATCTCCTTTTGCGTTTTTCTGTCGTACTACCTATGATCTCAAAAACTGAATCTGTTTCCATAATCTTGAAATGGTGGGTTGACATTGAACTCCTTCATAGTATTGCTTCAAAGTTCAGACTTAAAATGGATTTGTAATGTTTTTAGTCCTCCAACCCTCTTCCTCGGTCCCATATTTTTCTGTTATAACCTCCCTCCAGAAAAGTGTGCTCCTTAATCTTGAACCTCCTTATCCACTTTCCTAATAAAGCATGGTGGAAACAAGGCAAACTTTCACCCCAAGGCCTCCCTAGCTCTTTGGGGCTGTGATGATCTCCCAACTTACTAAATGGAACTTCCCATCTCCATTTGTTGAGTCCCATATGAACTTCCAATGGAGTCTTTCCAATTCTCCGGGAAGCTAGCTGGTGCCCGTGGTACTGAAAGAGTATGTGAGAGTGCTAAAAAGTGCGATTTTAATTAACACTTCCTTCCACCTTTTGAAAAGTATTTGTTCTACCAATCAAACCAGCTACTTTCCATGATCACTGGGTTCCATGTTGCTTGGTCTTTATTGGAAGCGCCCAACGGTAAACCAAGGTAAACTACTTCCACATTGAATTCCAAAAAGAAGCCAATGAAGACTTGGCAAATTGATTCTGATGGTGGTGCTGAGACAGGTTCGAATGTCATGAAAGTACGGGTTTGTGTTAATGTTGGTATTCTCCCCGCTGGTGTATGCTAGAGGGTGCCTATCTCCTGTTGTTTGACCACAAACAAAAGACTTAAAAAAAACAGAATCCTACACATAAAGGAGCAATTATCACTATCGAATATTTTCCGAGTTGTGTTTGGTAAGCTTATAAGCTGGTCAAACTAGCCGATAAACATCTTTTGGCTTATCTACGCGTTTGGTAAATGTTAGTTTAATCAAGATTTTACTACTTTATCCTTAATATTCTTTTTAATCTCAAAATACCCAAAACAAAATCCCTAACTGCCTCCCCAATCCATATACATCATTCCTCTTTTTCGCAAATATCTACTAAATTTATAATTTTTTTGAGAGGTTGAAGGGTATTTGAGCCAATTTAACGAAAGAATAGCTTCTCAGCACCTTTTTTACCAAACATATCAATTGTTTGTTATCAGTTTCACTATTTCTATCAAAATACGCAACTGCTTATTTATAAAATTAGTTGCAGTATTTAAAAGTGCTAAATCAACGTTATACTTATCAGCTATTTACAACAAGCTAACCCAAACGGGCTTGAGCCAGTAGAAATCGCAAAATTTCATGCTTTATATTTACATCAGTTCAATTTTTAATCTACCAAGAGGCTGAATGTAACTAGATCTATGCTTACCGTTTGCAAACAAGAGAGACTACACTATTTGGATGGCAGAATTAAGAGAAACAATGAAAAGGGGATATAGGGAAAGAGATAAAAAGGAACTAACTTTTCACGGAAATAGGCGAATGGGGCAAGAATAGAAATAGCAAGAAGGTCTCTGTACAAACAGAAGACAATTTCATTCATGCCCACATTTAGAGCCACCTTTGTAATCACATGGTACCCAGCATTGAACAGTTGTACCATAGCCATTGTACCATGGGCTTTCCATATCTCACCCCCATTTCCTACTGCAACTGCTGCCATTTTGTTCATCTCATCCACTCCACAGCCACCCCCCCCCCCCCCTATATAGAGTAATACTGGGTAGGTGGTGATGGGGTAGGTGTATCTTAACTATAAAGACTAAAAGAATACGGCAATAGGACAAAAGGAGAGGACTTGTTGCAGGAATTTCACGTTGTTCTACTGAGTTTGTGTCTTTTGGGTTTTTTGGTCACAAAACACTGAGGAAGTTTGGACCAAATTTTGGAATATCTTTCTCACATACACACGTGCGTGTTTTCTCCTTATATGTCACTTGTCCAGCATGTGTCCACAACTATATGGGATAAGGCATAATTTTCTTCTATTTCCTTTTGTTGGGAGAACGAGTAATACAAACCACGGCTCGGGTGTTCCATACTGAAAAATCACACCAAATAGAAATCGAACCAAACTTATTTGATAAAATTTTCTTTTGGTTTTATATGATTTTGGTATTAAATTTGAAAGGATAAAAGGTAAAATTTATCCCTGGACTGGACTGGTCTATATATGTACTCCATTAATAGCTGGAGTCAATCGTGCCCTTGTCATTACAATTTGTTGTCAGTTGTCACGTGTCCAAATATTAACAGAAAAATGGCCAAATTTACCCATAAACTATACGAAATGGTCTATATATGTCGTGCGTTAGTCCATGCCTGAAGCCCACAAAATTCACATGCTTTATATGTACATCAAACAATTCAATTGTCTTCCGACAGAGGATCTTTGACGAGTTTTTCCTATTTTCTAAGTCTTACTATCTTAGTGATAGAGTTATCGAGTACTTGTGCGGGTCAGGGCGGACCTAGAGCATAGAATACGGGTTCTCAGGAACTCAGTAACTTTTACGTAGGCCTGTATTTATATTAAGAAATTCACTAAATATTTGTAAATATCTAACTGTGAACCCAATTATTATTGTTTATTAATCTAAAATTACAATAGTGCAGGTAGTACCTATGTTGGATGCCGCAAGCTAGCCAAACACCACCATTATTTTTAACAAAAAATATCTATCTACAAAGTGATTGAATGCAACTAAATCTGTGTTTTCTTTGTGCACAGATAGAGAGACTACACTACTTGGATGGCAGAATTACGAGAAACAATGAAAAAGAGATATAGGGAAAGAGATAAAGGAACTAACTTTTCACGGAAATAGGCGATGGGGGCAAGAATAGAAATAGCAAGAAGGTCCCGGTACAAACAGAAGACGATTTCATTCATGCCCACATTGAGAGCCACTTTTGTAATCACATGGTAACCACCATAGACAAGCTGTACCAAAGACATTGCAGCATGCGCTTTCCATATCTCGCCTCCATTTCCTACTGCCATCTTGTACATTTCATCCACACTACACACCCACCCACCCCTTATATATATAGAGTCAACAAAGTGTAATAATGGGGGAGTAGGTGATTCTTGATTATTATAGAGATTTTAAATAAAAGATATATGAGAAAGGGAGTTGACCTGTTTCAAGAACCTCACGTTTTTGTGTTTTCTTGGACTGTGTTGGTTTTTTGGTCACAAGAAACTGAGAAAGCTTTGGACAGGATTCTGGAGTTGATCTTTCTGACGAATTTGAGGTTTAAGCTTTCCCACATAAACGGTCTGTGTCTTCTCCTTTTCTGAAAGTAAAATGACTAAAAATGGCAAATTAATTGATGGAGTTTTAAAGAGTTACTTTTTCTAATTTTTATGAAAATTCTAAAACGAGTGTCACTTATCTACTGGAGTAGTACGAGTAATATCATTATTTTTGTTTTTTTAAATTTAGTACCTGTATTGGGTTCTGATTAGTTCAATTTCGCATAGCATAAAATTCATTAAAAGAAATAGCACTCATTATTAAAATCAGAACTCAAACGCGAGGAGATTTAGCATGAAACGATCATATATATCTTACCAAACTATCATTACGGTGTATGTCAACCTATAACAACTCTCCTTTATCTGCTGAGAATCAATTACACTTTGTGAAACTCGCATACTCGAGTCTTTGTGACACAAAGATAACAAATTTAATGCCAGTATTGTTTCCTAACAATAAAAGAAGTAATGAAGAATATGAATAAAAAATTGAAGGAAAAAAAAAGTGTCAAAAATACAAATATTAGATGTACTTTTGATACAAAAATCATGATGTATTACATATTACACTTTTGACTCATATTGCAATATCATATTCCCAAAATTGTTCTTATCTGATCAGGTGGATGTCTAGCCAGTGACTTTGGATCTGGGTAGCCATTCTCAGGGTCCATGATGGCCTTGTAAATAAGCTCGTAGGCTTCAGCAAGTGACCTAGCTACCTGAACACTAGTTTCTGATCGCAATCTTGGAACTTGCATCTGCTCAAATTCAGGAATGGCGGTGTCACTGCCCAAAATGAGCCCAAAGAAAGCCTTCAAACTCTCAGCAACAGACACCGGAGCTGTATCCTCTTCTTCTGCTAACGCTTGCCTAGCTATGGAGTTACCAGATTCATTAATTTCTAATGACTTGCGGAAGTGTGACATCTTATTCAATAAACCACATCTTCTTAGAATAGCATCGACTTCTTTTTCCACAAGAGCATTTATGTGATTGTCTATCATCACTCCGAGCTTCTTCACATAGCCACTTGCAACTTCATGTCCTAAAAGTGGTTGCTGAATGGCACATAAGCAGTTGATGAGGAAAATTTTGGCCGGAGTTTCACTGGTCTGCAAAAACAAAACAGTAAGTTAACACTAGTGATAGTAGGATAACTGCACCATCTCATATAATATCACTATATTATAACATGCACCATGTCATATAAGATCACTATATTATAACACCATATCAATCGATAGTTTACTCATGATCGCGAACATGGAATAAACGCAAAATCAACATTTCAATCAATCATCTAATACATAGATCCATGGTGATCTATGCACCTAGTATAAGGTGGCCCAGCAAATATCTCTGAAAAATAGTATCGTTTGAGTAAAATATCCCAAATCCAACCAAACACAGCTTGGAAAGTGTCAGATGGTAGGATTCTTCCATTTCTTGTAGTTTCTCTTTCTTTTTTGCTTTCTTACCTTTTATTTGGGGAGAGGGAAGGGGCACGAAATTTCACAAGCCAAGGTTACAACACAAAAGGCCTAATTGGACTTTGGGACTCAAGCGGAAACAAGACCATAAATACCTGTGGTAGAGATGCTGAATTGTTGCCATCCAAAAGAGCTTCCACAGATGACCTGCGGTGTTGACTTGGATCAGAAGTAATTCTATTCCTTCTCAAAGAGTGTGTGGCACCTTTTGACTTGTGCGCCTCTGCTGCTTGCTCACACATCTGCATGGAAGATAAGAGAGTAAACATAGAGAAGCATAATAAAATTGATTTGATTATACTGCAGTAAAATCAGCAATGATGCCATTTTCAGCCTTTCTCATTCTCACGTCAAGAAGCTCAAATCAAACAATCTTAAAATTCTGAAATGTCACTCAAACAGGAGAATGGAATCAATAATGCATTCTAGTTTATACGATCAAAATAGTTGATGCACTCTAGTTTTCCATATAAACAAACAAATTAAATTTCCCATTCCTTTCTACTTTAAACACAGCTAATAACCAGAGATAATCTGTACTAGTAATATGGTCTTGCAATTTCGTAACAAACCAGTACCCCAGCGAAGGATTGAGTTACAAACTTCAAGAGAAACAGATAGACTGCACAAGAAAAACAAGAATAGTGCTAATAAGAGAACAACAACAACAACCCAGTGTAAATCCACAATTGGGGTCTGGGGAGGGGATGTACACAGCCTTACCCCTACCCTGGAAAGGCAGAGAGAGACTATTTCCGATAGACCCTTGGCTAAAGAAGATAGGAGAAGCATCGATAGCAAGTAATAGCAAGACAATATATTTAGAAAACTAAATCGAAGATAGTAATAGAGAATAAGAAAGAAGTACTGATAACAAGTAATAGCAAGACAATATATTTAGAAAACTAAATCCAAGATAGCAATAGAGAATATGAAAGAAGTACTACTAGCAAATTAAGGAAGTACTGACGGCAAGTAATAACAGAACAAGATATGCGATAATAGCAAACTAAGGATAAAAAGGGTACCATACTAACACTAATACTATCGAACTAACAAAGACAAAGGGAAACGCACGACTACCTACTAACCTTCTATCCTAATACTCAACCTCTACACCCTTCTATCCAGGGTAATTCCTCGGTTAGCTCAAGCTGCGCCGCCATGTCCCACCTGATCACCTCTCCCCAAGGCTTCTTTGGCCTACCTCTACCCTTCCTCTTACCCCCCAAGGCCAACCTCTCACACCTCTTGACTGGGGCATCTGTGCTTCTCCTTTTAACATGCCCGAACCATCTCACCCTTGCCTCTAATAAGAGAACATGTTCATTTTTTTATCAACATCAGACGATGTTGACATGCATTTAACATGATTTGATATTTGGTATTTACCCTGATGGAAAGGCAAGTCCATCACATGTGAATAAGTTTTCTTTGTTTCGCCAATTTTTTGTTAAAAGTTATTTATCTTTATTTTAAGAAAATCAATGTCCTTCCCATAAAATAAAAAGAAATCATAAACAACCTATGTCAATTGTTAGAAGTCACGACTCACATCATAGTCATTTTAAATGGTACCTTATATTTCACAGGTACCTATGGGTATCTTAGGACATTTGAACCTCATGTTGCAATAAATTAGTCCTGCATAGCTGGAGTTAAATTAATATAATCTAGATGATTCATGCTAATAGTTCAACAACAAATTGTTAAGAGTTAAATTCTTGTATCCAGATATCTATGAATCTTTTTCATGGGTTCTCTGCTCTACTGCACACAACAAAATAGGATTTCTTTTGGGTCAGACGGAACAACTTGCCAACCATGTTTTGACTAATCTACTCAGAGACCGGAAACAGGGATAAGCCCAAACTAATGCTACCGAATTCAAGCAAAGCTGATTCTCCAGTACTCTAGCAATCCCCTAAGGTCACAGTTGGCCTGTATGACTCAAGGTCTTCCATTAGAAAAATGCTAAAAAATTGTTGGAACAAGACCAAGATGTATCATCAACATGTGTCTAGGTGCTTAAGCATATATAATTGAGTTTGAAGAATAACAACCTTTGCTCATTCAAAGATAAATATGTAATTAACAATATATCACTATCTTTTCGGAAGGACCAAGCATTTCTTGAGAGAAGTTGAGACTCGCATTCAATTGTATAATGAAAAGTCCTAAACGAGTAACACTTAAAAGAAGGCACATAGGAAATTCCAGATTAGGGCTGAAGTGTGAGCTTGGATAGCAGAACCCTTCCGTGTCTTTCCTATTAAGTGCACCAACCGAATTAAGAGGGTATGCAATTTTTACTTATTTAACACAACGGATGCAAAGATACGTGGTGACAGAAGAATTTACAAGATAAGAAATGTCGCGTTTGCAAGAAGGTTCAAGTAGTAAACATTGATGATTAAATTAGAGAACGTAGCTAGAGATGGTTTAGTCATGTTCAGCGTCGACCTCCAGATGCACCAGTCCGTAGGTGTGAAACCATGGTGAATGAAGGTGTTAAAAGAGGACAAGGTAGACTTAAAATCACATGGAAGGAAGTTGTTTCGAAAGAACTACATATGTGGATCCATGCAGACTTAGCAAAAGATAGGGCACAATGGAACAAGCAGATCTATATAGGCGATACATATTAGTTGAGAATATGGTTCTAGATGTTAGCACTTTTGCCGTAGGTTCTATGATTTTTAGGAGTGGTTTAGCCTTTCAGAGATTTTATATGTTTAGAAAATATAGAGCTTCTAATATTTTTATTTGTATTTACATAATATTGGCATGAGATGAGCTTAAGTGGAGTCACATGGTCAGTGAGGATTCATATAGCCGATCCCGACTTGTTTGGGACTGAGGCTCTGCTATTGTTGAAACACAAAAATCAGGAACTAATACATAAGTAGCAATCATTTATTTAAAGTAACTTGATGGACACTAACCTGAATAATAGGATCTAGCAGAGCAGATATAGCTGGATCAAAGTCAGGCTTCTTTCCAGATGCAGGGAACATCATGCTATCATGTGTTTGAATAATTTCAAGCAGCACTGAAACCCCTTCCCTTAAAGCTGGTGGTGGAGAAAGATCAACAGCGACCAATGGAGGATACCTCAAAAGCTTCTCGCCCCGACTCTTTAGTATGTCAAAAAATGTTTTTTGGGCTGCGTCCTTGAGCACCAGTAAGGTATTACATAGAGATGTTTCTTCCCCCAGCAAATCCGATATCTGCATTGGAAAAAGAGTTGACTGCAAGGATAATTTAAAAAGGAGGGTGCAAGAAGATTGGATCGCTAGCAATAGATTTCAACTCACTGTGTATAAATAGAACTCCAGTGTATTACTAAGCTTGTAAGAAATTATAAGATTAGGTTGAGAGTGCAAAACTTGTTCCACTCTAACTTTAAAAGGGCGGCAAACTCCTTCAAAAATCCTGTCTAGAACAAAAGTCAAATCGGTTTCTGTCTTTCCAGACTCACTATCTACGCCTTTGGGGTATTTATGACTAGTTGATCTAG